GGAGTCTGAGGAAAAGGGTGGGGGGGGAGGGGGGGTCTGAGGGAGGCTAAATACAATACATTTATATGTTGTATGAGTACAGAGAGTGTATACAGAGCGCTGGGATTACAGGGTGTGTGTGCAGGGCGCTGGGAGTACAGGGTGTGTACAGGGCGCTGGGATTACAGGGTGTGTACAGAGGGTTGGGATTACAGGGTGTGTACAGAGGGCTGGGAGTACAGGGTGTGTACAGAGGGCTGGGATTACAGGGTGTGTACAGGGCGCTGGGAGTACAGGGTGTGTACAGGGCGCTGGGATTACAGGGTGTGTACAGAGGGCTGGGAGTACAGGGGGTGTACAGAGGGCTGGGAGTACAGGGGGTGTACAGAGGGCTGGGAGTACAGGGGGTGTACAGAGGGCTGGGATTACAGGGTGTGTACAGGGCGCTGGGATTACAGGGTGTGTACAGAGGGCTGGGAGTACAGGGGGTGTACAGGGCGCTGGGAGTACAGGGTGTGTACAGGGCGCTGGGAGTACAGGGTGTGTACAGGGCGCTGGGAGTACAGGGTGTGTACAGGGCGCTGGGAGTACAGGGTGTGTACAGAGGGCTGGGAGTACAGGGTGTGTACAGAGGGCTGGGATTACAGGGTGTGTACAGAGGGCTGGGAGTACAGGGTGTGTACAGAGGGCTGGGAGTACAGGGTGTGTACAGGGCGCTGGGAGTACAGGGTGTGTACAGAGGGTTGGGAGTACAGGGTGTGTACAGAGGGCTGGGAGTACAGGGTGTGTACAGAGGGCTGGGAGTACAGGGTGTGTACAGGGCGCTGGGAGTACAGGGGGTGTACAGAGGGCTGGGAGTACAGGGGGTGTACAGAGGGCTGGGAGTACAGGGTGTGTACAGCCCCCTATGTGTGTAGGGTGTGTGTAGAGTGAGCTACAGAGTGCTGTACAGGGTGGTGAATATAGGCTGTGTGACCCCCCCCCCTCTCTCTCTCCCCCCCCCTCTCTCTCTCTCCCCCCCCCTCTCTCCCTCTCCCCCCCCTCTCTCCCCCCCCCCTCTCTCCCCCCACCCCTCTCTCTCTCTCCCCCCCCCCGGTTCACTATCTTGCACGGCCGTTGCTAAGGCCGCGCGGTCGGTAAGAGACGCGCTTACCTTCCCGACACACTGCAGGAACGGCCGGTATTATCTCCGCTCTCCGCGCTGCTCCGGCTCCTGCCGCCGCCCCGGGAGCGAGACCGGGAGGGGAGGAGAGGGAGCGGGAGTTGAAATGTTGGAAGCGGTCAGATAAAATCACCCGCCGGGCCGGATGCCGCCCGCGGGCCGCCTGCTGGACAGTCACGGGGGGGGGGGGGGTGGGGCAGGTGACGGTTGGCCGCTCGCGCACCTGTTGGCAGTTGCTGGCCCCGCCCCCTCTCAGGTTTAAATCCCGGCGCCCGCCACAGCCAGTGACGTGTGTGAGTGACGTCAGTCACACACAGAGGAACAGAGACGGGGAGAGTGAGAGGGACACCGAGTGACTGACTGACTGACTGACTGAGTGAGTGAGTGAGTGAGTGAGTGAGTGAGTGGGACACTGAGTGAGTGAGTGAGTGGGACACTGAGTGAGTGAGTGGGACACTGAGTGAGTGAGTGAGTGGGACACTGAGTGAGTGAGTGAGTGGGACACTGACTGAGTGAGTGAGTGAGTGAGTGGGACACTGAGTGAGTGAGTGAGTGAGTGGGACACTGAGTGAGTGAGTGAGTGGGACACTGAGTGAGTGAGACACTGAGTGAGTGAGTGAGTGAGTGGGACACTGAGTGAGTGAGTGGGACACTGAGTGAGTGAGTGGGACACTGAGTGAGTGAGTGGGACACTGAGTGAGTGAGTGGGACACTGAGTAAGTGAGTGAGTGGGACACTGAGTAAGTGAGTGAGTGGGACACTGAGTAAGTGAGTGAGTGGGACACTGAGTAAGTGAGTGAGTGGGACACTGAGTAAGTGAGTGAGTGGGACACTGAGTAAGTGAGTGGGACGCTGGGTGACTGACTGAGTGAGTGGGAGAGTGAGTGAGAGGGACACAGTGAGTGAGTGAGAGGGACACAGTGAGTGAGTGAGAGGGACACAGTGAGTGAGTGAGAGGGACACAGTGAGTGAGTGAGAGGGACACAGTGAGTGAGTGAGAGGGACACAGTGAGTGAGTGAGAGGGACACAGTGAGTGAGTGAGAGGGACACAGTGAGTGAGTGAGAGGGACACAGTGAGTGAGTGAGAGGGACACAGTGAGTGAGTGAGAGGGACACAGTGAGTGAGTGAGAGGGACACAGTGAGTGAGTGAGTGAGAGGGACACAGTGAGTGAGTGAGTGAGAGGGACACAGTGAGTGAGTGAGTGAGTGAGTGAGAGGGACACAGTGAGTGAGTGAGTGAGTGGGACAGTGAGTGAGTGAGTGAGAGGGACACAGTGAGTGAGTGAGTGAGAGGGACACAGTGAGTGAGTGAGTGAGAGGGACACAGTGAGTGAGTGAGTGAGAGGGACACAGTGAGTGAGTGAGTGAGTGAGAGGGACACAGTGAGTGAGTGAGTGAGTGAGAGGGACACAGTGAGTGAGTGAGTGAGAGGGACACAGTGAGTGAGTGAGTGAGAGGGACACAGTGAGTGAGTGAGTGAGAGGGACACAGTGAGTGAGTGAGTGAGAGGGACACAGTGAGTGAGTGAGTGAGAGGGACACAGTGAGTGAGTGAGTGAGTGAGAGGGACACAGTGAGTGAGTGAGAGGGACGCAGTGAGTGAGTGAGAGGGACACAGTGAGTGAGTGAGAGGGACGCAGTGAGTGAGTGAGAGGGACGCAGTGAGTGAGTGAGAGGGACGCAGTGAGTGAGTGAGTGAGAGGGACGCAGTGAGTGAGTGAGTGAGAGAGACGCAGTGAGTGAGTGAGTGAGAGGGACGCAGTGAGTGAGTGAGTGAGAGGGACGCAGTGAGTGAGTGAGTGAGAGGGGACGCAGTGAGTGAGTGAGTCAGAGGGACGCAGTGAGTGAGTGAGTGAGAGGGACGCAGTGAGTGAGTGAGTGAGAGGGACGCAGTGAGTGAGTGAGTGAGAGGGACGCAGTGAGTGAGTGAGTGAGAGGGACGCAGTGAGTGAGTGAGAGGGACGCAGTGAGTGAGTGAGTGAGAGGGACGCAGTGAGTGAGTGAGTGAGTGAGAGGGACGCAGTGAGTGAGTGAGTGAGTGAGAGGGACGCAGTGAGTGAGTGAGTGAGTGAGAGGGACGCAGTGAGTGAGTGAGTGAGAGGGACGCAGTGAGTGAGTGAGTGAGAGGGACGCAGTGAGTGAGTGAGTGAGAGGGACGCAGTGAGTGAGTGAGTGAGTGAGAGGGACGCAGTGAGTGAGTGAGTGAGTGAGAGGGACGCAGTGAGTGAGTGAGTGAGTGAGTGAGAGGGACGCAGTGAGTGAGTGAGTGAGAGGGACGCAGTGAGTGAGTGAGTGAGAGGGACGCAGTGAGTGAGTGAGTGAGAGGGACGCAGTGAGTGAGTGAGTGAGAGGGACGCAGTGAGTGAGTGAGTGAGAGGGGACGCAGTGAGTGAGTGAGTGAGAGGGACGCAGTGAGTGAGTGAGTGAGAGGGACGCAGTGAGTGAGTGAGTGAGAGGGACGCAGTGAGTGAGTGAGTGAGAGGGACGCAGTGAGTGAGTGAGTGAGAGGGACGCAGTGAGTGAGTGAGTGAGTGAGTGAGAGGGACGCAGTGAGTGAGTGAGTGAGAGGGACGCAGTGAGTGAGTGAGTGAGAGGGACGCAGTGAGTGAGTGAGTGAGAGGGACGCAGTGAGTGAGTGAGAGGGACGCAGTGAGTGAGTGAGTGGGACGCTGTGAGTGAGTGAGAGGGACGCTGAGTGAGTGAGTGAGGGACGCTGAGTGAGTGAGTGAGTGAGGGACGCTGAGTGAGTGAGAGGGACGCTGTGAGTGAGTGAGTGAGGGACGCTGTGAGTGAGTGAGTGAGGGACGCTGTGAGTGAGTGAGTGAGGGACGCTGTGAGTGAGTGAGTGAGGGACGCTGTGAGTGAGTGAGTGAGGGACGCTGTGAGTGAGTGAGTGAGGGACGCTGTGAGTGAGTGAGTGAGGGACGCTGTGAGTGAGTGAGTGAGGGACGCTGTGAGTGAGTGAGTGAGGGACGCTGTGAGTGAGTGAGTGAGAGGGACGCTGTGAGTGAGTGAGTGAGAGGGACGCTGTGAGTGAGTGAGAGGGACGCTGTGAGTGAGTGAGTGAGAGGGACGCTGTGAGTGAGTGAGTGAGAGGGACGCTGTGAGTGAGTGAGTGAGAGGGACGCTGTGAGTGAGTGAGTGAGAGGGACGCTGTGAGTGACTGAGTGAGAGGGACGCTGTGAGTGACTGAGTGAGAGGGACGCTGTGAGTGACTGAGTGAGAGGGACGCTGTGAGTGACTGAGTGAGAGGGACGCTGTGAGTGACTGAGTGAGAGGGACGCTGTGAGTGAGTGAGTGAGAGGGACGCTGTGAGTGAGTGAGTGAGAGGGACGCTGTGAGTGACTGAGTGAGAGGGACGCTGTGAGTGACTGAGTGAGAGGGACGCTGTGAGTGAGTGAGTGAGAGGGACGCTGTGAGTGAGTGAGTGAGAGGGACGCTGTGAGTGAGTGAGTGAGAGGGACGCTGTGAGTGAGTGAGAGGGACGCTGTGAGTGAGTGAGAGGGACGCTGTGAGTGAGTGAGAGGGACGCTGTGAGTGAGTGAGAGGGACGCTGTGAGTGAGGTTAGCCACACACACAGAGGGACAGGGAGTGTGTGTGACAGTGAGTGAGGTTAGCCACAGGGAGAGAAATATACAGAGAGGGGAGAGACAGAGATATGAACAGAGACCGGGAGAAATACATCCAGAGATAGATAGAGAGAGAGAGAGAGAGAGACAGACAGGCGGAGGGAGAGAAACAGAGAGACACAGTGAGGGAGAAACCAGACAGACAGAGAGAGATAAATACATAGAGAGAGGGACAGAGACGAGGAGAACGAGAGAGACACAGACAGGGAGGGAGAGAGAGAGTCGGGGAGGGAGAGACACACACAGAGTGTAACAGAGAGAAAGACACCGTGAGATAGAAAGAGACGCACTCCGAGACGGAGCGAGAGAGAGAACGTACACAGGAGGAGACTGAGAGACAGTCACGGTGATTGATTGACAGGCTCCAAGGTCACTGATTGATTGATTGATTTTGATTGACAGGCTCGACATGTCCGCGGCCAGCGTGCTCCTCTGCCTCGGTCTCTTCTGCTCCCTCACGGTGAGCGTCCACTCTGCTTTTTTCGGGTGGTTCATCCACAGAGAGACGGCAGAGATGGCCTCTCCGGCCTCGTTCTCCGAGGCCTCGGAAGCAGCCGTCCCACAACCGCTCTTCGAGATGACCACTGTGGACGACAAGTTTGTGGCCGAAGCCCAGCACCTGGACCTGTCTCCGCTTGACAGATGCCATCGCAAGGTGGGTGACTCTGTGCAAACGTCCGCAAAATAATCTTTTCCATATTTACAGGGCTTGCAACACCAACAACAAATGACATTTCACATCGAGAGGATGTCCCAAGGCTTTGGACAGCCAGGAATTTGGACCCGAGTTGGGCACTGGGATCAGGAGGGGTGGAGGGCAGCGAGGGTAGGGGTAGGAGGGTGACTGTTTTGCAGTCAGTCTGGTTCCAGCAAAGCAAAAGTGCTCAAGTGGTTATTGAGGCTGGATCAATGGAATGATTCAACAGGGAAATGGATAAAGACTTGAGCAATAATATGAGAAAAGAGCCTGAGAGTGGGATTGATAATCAATAAAGGGGAGTAAGAAGAAACAGGTTAGGTCATAGATTGGTTGCTCAGGACATCCCAAGCCTCCCACCCAGCGCCTTGGGACGTCCTCTTGAACCGAAAATTGCTATACAAATGTAAGTTGTTGTTGTTAGCCGTTGCAGACATGCTGGGCTGAATTGTCTTCAACGTCATTGATGTCTTTTGCTGTGCTTAAAACTGTACAAGATATTTTGTTAGTGTACGATTACTGTGCTCGTAGTTGGTCCCGGTATTCCCACTGCACACAGTTATAACTAGGATCTTGGAAATCATTCTGCTGGGGGACAGGGAGCCAAGAGAGGCTTGGCGAGGATGAAGGTGTGGGAGAGTTACTTGTGGATGGTGGAGTTGGGAAGGTCAACAAGGAGAACATTACAGAAATTGTCTTGAGGGGATGGACTTGCAGACGTTCAGATTTTGTCTGGTGTTAGGATGGGTAGTTACCACCTGCGTGAATAATGAGCACTTGATGAGATCACTGGTATCACTTGATCAGATCACTAGTTGCTCAGAATGAGTATCTATTGTCCCCATAATTTAATTTGGCTTCAGCCTTCATAAATAACAAGATCCTGTGATTATTTTCTCATTCAGTTTCTCTGCCCCATTTTTGACAGTGCTGATTTGCCTGGGGTTTGTTTGTTTGTGTGTGAGAGAGAGAGCAGACTGTTATTCCCAGCCGAGCCCCATCCCTGCCCTTGTAGGCTGATTTCCAGCAGAGTTCACTAGAAAAGAGATCTGAAGCACGAACCTGACTATCCTTCCAACCGTCCTTCTCTAATCTGAGGCCTGGTGAACACTTGCAGTATTTCAGCTGTGGCTAAAATCAGCTAAAAACCGACTAGGAATACAACCTGAAATCTTCCAGCACCTTGAGACATTTTCCCAACCTGAAAGCCACGTGTAATGTGTTGTTATTGTGTGACTTTATGCTGTACCATGGGGGAGGAGGAACGTGCTTTAAAAAGAATTGGGGGTGGGGGGGAAAAAACAGTTTTTCAATTAAAATCCAATTTGTGTTTTCCAAAATTCTGCACGCTCTTAAATTTGAAAGCAATGGTCTTGAGGCTGAGACCACTGGTATTTCAGACCTTGAGCGAGGAGAGTGAGGGGTATTGATTCACAGGCTTGATTCAGTCAGTAGCACTCTCGCTGCGAGGTTAGAAGGTTGTGGCTTAAGGCCATTTGTTGTCTCACCTCTCTGTGCAATTGTCTGCCAACTCAACACCCCACGTTATCCAGAAACCAGTCACCCTCTGTTCTTTTTGCGCACAGGTCATCGAGCAATTGTCAACGACCTGCAGTGACCTTTCAGAAGAAGAGTTGGCCAAACTGGGGGTGTCCTTATTCAACTGTCAAGCTGAAATTGAACAACGCCCAACTTACCCATGCACGCCAGAAATGGTAACTGAGTACACGTTAATTTTTTTGCAAAGGGGTGGGAGAGAAGCAAAGAAATACAATATTACACTGGATGTGTGGCATAGTCCAGTCAGACACTCCAGTGCTGCGAGATTGGAGGCACCATCACTTCGGTGAAACTCTAAACCAAGGTCCCGTCTACCTGTTCAAGTGGGCATTAAAGATTCACTACGCTGTTCGAAATGCGAAGGCAGTTTCTCCTGGTGTCATGACCAAAAATTCTCCCCATTAACTAGTTATTCACTACTTGGCTATTTGTGAGAACTCGCTATGTGCAGTATGGCTCTTTCGTCTAGCATTTCTTATGTTCTTATAGCAGGAAGTGTTGATTCTTTCAAACACAGATTATATAGTTTTCTTTTAGGAAATAACATTATGGGATATTGGTAGTTTGGGGCATATATGCATGCGACCGCCAGGAAGGTGGAAGGCGAGCTAGATGGACCTTGGTCTTTTGTCATCTAGCATTTCTTATATTCTTAAGTAATAATAATAATAACAATCCTTGTATTTGATATATTTATATGTATTTGTATTTATAAAAAAATTATTAAAAACAAAAAAGGTCATTTTCTATCCACGACTGTTTGCGGGACGCTGCTGTACGCAATTGACTGCCGCTTTTCACCCACAACTATACGGTCAATTCACTTTACAGTATATTCTGTGAAGCGCTTTGAGACGTCTCGAAGACGTGATGAGGCGCTGTATCAACTGCAAGGATTATTATTACTATTATGTCTTTGAGACGTCTCAACCGCTTCACAGGATAAACTGTAAAGTGAATTGACTGTATATCGTGTGGGCGAAACACGGCAGCCAAGTGTACACAGCAGTGTCCCACAAACAGTCAGGGATTAAATGACCAAATTATTATTTTTTTATTTACTTTTTGAATGGATCCCCAGAAAAGCGATCTAGTAATCGACTAACACCCGGGCTCCTACTTACTGCTTACTTACTTACAGATGTGTGTGGATTAAGGAAACTTGCCCTAGATTTTGCCTTGCCTGGGAATCAAACCGAGTTCCTGTCGGTTACGAGGCAAGTACTCTAACCGCTAAGTTACAGGGCTCCACAAGTCTATGTGCAAAAAAAGCAGTTACTATTCTTAGACAATTTTTTTAAAACTGCAACGTTTTTGTGATGTTTGAGATAGAAAGAAGCTGTAGACCTTTAGTTATTTCTTTCTGTCCTCCCGAGGCATTAGCAGATTGCACAGCAGGGATGGATCCTGACACCTGGAACGCGTACCACATTGTCAGTAACCGAGCCCGCTCCGTGTGTTACGCCACAAGGCAGCAGGCCTTCAAGCGAAGGACCGAGATGACGGTAAACGCGCTGGTGGCCACGGCTTCTGGGCAGCTGGAAGCCATGAAGATGCTGAAGGTAATTCTGGTTTCTTCTGGGTCACAGCAGCCTCGATCCTGCATGTGAAACTGAGCCATTGAGTGTACTATCTGATAAGTTTCTAGTTCCTTCTCCAGGTTTGACTCCCCTACCCATCGGGAGTTTGGTTGCAGGGCTGGGAAGCGTTAATCGTATTGATCTTTTGTTCGGGAGTCTCTCTAATGTTGGATGGTCTGACTCTTAACTCGTGCTGTAGGATGGACAAGAGGAGCTACGGGAGCTGACCGCTGCCTCGCTGGAGAATGTGGTGAGCAGCCAGCACAAGCTCTTGGACCAGCAGGGGCACCTCGAACAGGGCCAGCAACAGCTCGAGTCCTCCATCACCGGCAACCTGGAGGAACTGACCCGAGAGAAGGAGTTAATCGCAAGCGGCCACCAGCAGGTGGCGGCTCTGATCGAGGGCATCACTCTCAGAATGGGTAAGTTGCTACCTCCTCAACCGTCCATGTCCTAGCCTCGTGCTAGGTATCGCAGCACAACCTCTTCACCCTCCTTTCCAAAGCCACAGCGTCGGAGGAGAGGGTAGAGAACTTGGATAAGATTTAAAAATAAACCTGAGAGGTTTAAAAAGGTTGTCGGTCCTCAAGGTAGATAAGGCACTCGGACGGGGTGCATCCTAGGTTACTGAGGGAAGTAAGGGTGGAAATAACGGAGGCTCTGGCCACAATCTTTCAATCCTCCTTGGACACCGGGCTGGTGCCAGAGGACTGGAGGGTTGCAAATGTTACTCCACTGTACGAAAAGGGGCAGAAGAATAAACCCGGGAACTACAGCCCATTCAGCCTAATGTCAGTTGTAGGTAAACTTCTAGAGACTATAATCTGGGACAAAAAAAAATTTCAATTGGAAAATATGGGTTCATTAAGTTCAGCCAACACAGATTTGTTAAAGGCAAATCATGTATTTAAAAAAACCTGATAGTTTTTTGATGAAGTAACAGAGAGGCTGGATGAAGGTAGTGCAGTTGATGTAGTTTATATGGATTTTTTCCAAAGGCGTTTGATGAAGTGCCACTTAAGAGACTTATAAGCAAAATAGAAGCCCACGGTATTAAAGAGACAGTGGCATCGTGGATACAGAACTGACTGGGAGACAGAAAGCAGAGAGTGGTGGAGAATGGTTGTTTTTGTGATTGGAGGGAATTGTGTAGTGGTGTCCTCCAGAGGTCGGTATTGGGACCACTGCTGTTTTTGATCTATATAAATGACTTGGACCTGGCTATAGGGAGTACAATTTCCAAGTTTGCAGATGATACTAAGCTAGGAACAGTAGTAAATAGTGAGGAGGATAGTAACAGACTGCAAATGGTACATAGACAGACTGGTAAAATGGGCAGACACGTGGCAGATGAAATGTGGAGAAATGCAAAGTAATGCATTTTGGGAGGAAGAATAAGGAGAGGAAATATAAGCTGATGGTACAATCTTAAAGGGGGTGAAGGAACAGAGAGACCTGGGGGTTCATATAAGTAAATCTTTGAAGGTGGCAGGACAGGTAGATAAAGCTGTTAAAAAAATATACGGGATACTAGGCTTTCTAAATAGGGGCATAGAATAGAAAAGTCAGGAAGTTGTGATGAACCTTTATAAGATGCTGGTTAGACCTCAGCATGAGACTGTGTTCAGTTCTGGGCCCCACACTTTAGGAAGGATGTCAAGGCATTGGAGAGGGAGCAAAGGAGATTTACCAGAAATGTGGGACTTCAATTATCAGAAGAGGCGAGAGAAGCTGGGATTATTCTCCTTGGAGCAGAGGAGGCTAAGAGGAGACTTAATAGAAAGGGTGAACAAGGGGAAACCATTTCCACTAGTGGGTGGGTCCGGTAACCAAGGACACTGAACTAAAATAGTTTTTAAAAGAAACAGAGGGGAGGTGAGGAGACATTTTTTTCATACAGCGAGCTGTTCAGATCTGGAATGCGTTGCCTGAAAGGGTGATTTCAATGACAACTTTTAAGGGAGAAGTAGATAATTATTCGGCTAGGACAAGTTTGTAGGGCAATGGGGAGAGCGCGGGGAGGGGGAATTGATTTGGATAGTACTTTTCAAAGAGCCGACACAGAAACAATGGGCCGAAAGGCCTCCTTCTGTGCTATATAATTCTATGAATTCACTTTACAGTTTATTCTGGGAATAAACGCTATATAATTATACGACTAGAAGACGTGATAAGGGGCTATATCAAATGCAAGGATTATTATTATTTCCTGTCCAGTTTCTTATTTCCTTTTCAGAGAATGTGAGCAGACACTTAGCTTACCAGGACTCCGAGCTGCAGCAAGGACATCAAGCAATACTCAACGACCTCCTGGAGGTCCGCGCGCGAGCTCAGCAGGTCTATGCCAAGTTGGGTGAGTAAAGATGGTGAAGCTGAAAGGGGTGGCTCGGAGAATTAAAACAGCAATAGGGGTGAAAGTTGTTGGGAAAGTTAATCTACATCAACAGAATCCCGTCACCCCACCCCAGCCCCCCAACACACATGCGGTTTGGCCAATTCATTAGAATATTTGGGATGTATTTGGTGAGGAGGGGGAATATAAATCTGGATTACCGGGAAGAAACATCCTACATTTGTTTGCAATAACAGGGGTGGGGACAGAGTGCAATCCCATAACTCAACAACCAGTTGCATTTACAACAACAGCTTGCATTTATATTGTGCGCTTCACGAGCTTAACATTGTTGGAGCCTGGAGTCGAGCCGGGGGGAGGGAAGACGTGACAGTAATCATGGTCGAAGAGGACGGTCTTGAGTCAAGATCTAAAAGAGGAGAAGGAGGGGGCAAGGCGGACGGATTGGGAGAGAGTTCCAAAGCCTTGCATAGCGCAGGATAGCATCATGGAGCGCTGCCCGTAGCGGGGATGGATGCCAGGTCAAGTGAGGTGCGGTTGAGGAAGAGAGTTCCATAGTTTAGGAAGGCACGGCCACCAATGGTGGTGCAGAGGAATCTAGGGATGTACAATAGGCTTGTGCGAGCAAAGAAGAGAGAGGGGTTTCCGAGGGCATGAAGGAGTTTGTACGTGAGGGTGAGGAACGTGAAATCGATCCTTTCAGAAACCTGGTGGTGATTAGGGTGCAGAGTTTGCTGATGGTGAGGATTGGGTAGTAGAATTTAATGAGTTGGATCTTGTGGGTGGTACAACTGGGGAGACCAGAGAGGTGTACGTTTGAGAAATCAAGCCGGGAGGTGACAAAGGCAGGGATGGGTGTTTCAGAGACTTTTAGGGTAAGAGAGTGATGTGGTGAAAGGCCCCCGAGTGTGAGGGAGGGAGGGGAAAAGAGTGTGTGTGTGAGGAAGAGGGAGGTCTTTGGTCTAAGTGTGTGTGTGCATGGGGTGGATTGTGGGGGGGGAAGAGAGAAGCCCTTGGCCTCTAAGATTCCCGGGCATGTATTTATTAACAGAGTCGAACCTGGACTTGTTTACTGTGCATCAGTCACAGATGGTGGTTTATTATGATCGACTGATGGAGAAGCTGCAGAGAATGAACCAGACGGTTGGAATGGTCATGTACATGATCGACCACCTGCACCTCGGGGTGGGCCAGAGGCTCAGCAAAATCCAGCACTTCCTCGACTGGACGGGTGAGGAGATGTGAGGGAGCTGGTGGCTGTATGGATGTGTCTGCACGTAGCTGGAGCAGCTTTTCAGTGATGGCGTGATGTGATGTTTAAATCCTAGTCCAATTTACTGTATTTCTAAGCTGTGCAGCAAGTGAGAACAGTGACTCTGTCAATGGAGCAAGGAATCCCCCTACTCAGCTCCTGTTAACCTTGCAAACCAAAGCCCTAACAGGTAGGATGGTCCTAGCATTGGGAAAGCTTGCCAGACAGCGATATCAATGGCAAGCTATGCGGTTTTAGCTGGTTAGACGCAAGCAGTTACCCCAACGCACACTCTGGGGTTCCCAAGCCTTGGCTCTTGCCAACTTGCACCTAATACTCTCTGGAATTAGGTAAACAGGATGCATCCCTCCAGGGAGAGAGCATTCCATTCCAACAATCTATCTCTGGGATTTCCAAGTGTAGGTGGAATTCTCATCTTGGTTTGGATACTCTTAAGCACGGTGATGGGTTTCCACATGTGTCAGGCTGACCAAAAAAACAAACAACCCCCATGTGGCATAATGGTGTGGTCCATGTGATCTCCTTTCCCACCCTCTGGCTCTGAAGGTGACCATTCTAGGAAGTCCAACTCTTGCATTCTTCTATAGTACCACTCGGAGCAGCTGATCTGCCTGTCAAGTCCACTTGGCCAGTTAGATCATAGTAGAATTTTCAATCCAATTTCCCAGTTCCCAAGTACCTTTATAACTTTCCAAATATAAGGAGATGAGTATTCCCCCTCTAATTTTCATAATTATATTTGGGAAAATGGTAAAGTAGAATATGGTGAATAATGAGTATTTGAAAAGCAGCCTCTCAGCTTAGCTAAAGATCTTATCACAGAATCGTACAGCACAAAAAGAGGCCATTCGCCCATCGAGTTTGTGCCGGCTCTTTGAAAAGAGCAATATAATGTCAATCCCACTCCCCAGCCCTTTCCCCATAACCCTGCAAACCCGTCCTCAAATACCCGTCCACCGCGTTTTTAAAAGTAGTTATCGAATCGGCCTCCACCGCCCTTTCAGGCAATGCCTTCCAGATTCGAACAACTCGCTGCGTGAAAAAAATTCTTCTCACCTCCCCTCTGCTCCTTTTAGATACTATTTTGAATCTGTGACCTCTAGTCACCAACACACCCACCAGTGGAAACAGTTTTTCCCCTTCTAACCTATCAAATTCCCTCATGATTTTGAAGACCTCTATTAGGTCTCCTCGTAACCTTCTCTGCTTCAATGAGAATAATCCTAACCTCTCCAGCCTTTCCTCATAATCAAGGTCCCTCATTCCTGGTACCATCCTCGTAAATCTCCTCTGTACCCTTTCCAAAGCCTTAATATCCTTCCAGAATTGGGCACAGTATTTTAACTGAGGCCTAACCAGTGTTTTATATAGGTTAATCATAACCTCCTGACTCTTGTACTCTATGCCCCTATTTATAAAGCCTAGTATCCCATATGTCCTTTTGTACAGCTTTATCTACCTGTCCTGCCACCTTCAAGGATTCATTTACCTGAACCCCCATATCTCTCTGTTCTTTTACCCCCCTTACGATTGTATTACCAGTCTGTATTGCCTCCCCTCATTCTTTCTACCAAAAATGCATTATTTTGCATTTCTCTACATTGAAACTCATCTGCCATGTGTCGCCCATTTTACCGTTCTATCTGTCTTCCTGCAGTTGGCTACTATCCTTCTTACTGTCTCCAGGAGCTTCCCCACTACTGATGTTAGGCCTGTAGTTCCCAGATTTGTCCTTCTGTCCCTTTTTGTATAGGGGAGTAACATTGGCCACGCTCCAATCCTCTGGCACCACCCGTGTCCAATGAAGATTGAAAAATTGTAGCCAAAGCCTCCGCTATCTGTACCCTTGCGACTTATCTACCTTCAGCCCGGTCAACCTTTTCAGTACTTCCTCTCTGATTATATTTATCCTATCCATTTCCTCTACCTTCTCCTCCACTCCTCTGGAATTTGGTGCATCCACTTCTTTTGTGAAGACAGATGCAAAGTACTCATTCAGTACATCAACCATGCCCTCTGTCTCCACAATAAGATTTCCGCCTTGGTCCTTAATTGGCCCCACCCTACTTTTGACTAACTTTTTCTTGATGTTTGTAAAAAGCATGTGGATTGTCTCTGGTAACCTTTAAGGCCAGCCTCATTTCAAAAATTGAGTGTTTGGATACTGTTATCCAGGAGCCAGGGCTGGAGAACAAACTAACCGACAACAACTTGCATTTATATAGCACCCTTCACACAGGGCAGTGTCTCAGAGCACTTAACAGGCAGAGCCTGACTCTGACCCGGGGGAGGGAGGAGGAGACTGTAAGCACGATCAAAGAGGATGTTCTTCAGTCATGATCTAAAAGAGAGGAGGGAGGGAGCAAGGCAGAGGGATTGAGGGAGAGAGTTCCAAAACTTTGTGGCTCAGTGGCTGAAAAAATGGCCGCTGATGGTGGAGTGGATGGAACGACAGGCCAGTAGGACAGAGCCAGCTAAGAGGAGGCAGCAGATAAAAGTAACCATTTGTACAAAGTTGGATCCATTGACCCCGATTTGATTGTATTTACAGGCAGCAATCTCAGCGTGATCTACACATGTGTTGTGCATGTCAGCTACTTCCTGGTTGCTGCTATCATCATGGCCTTTCTGCAGACTCCATGTTTCTCCCGTACGGTGCTACTGGTTCTGGTCCTATTGAATGCTCTGTCTGAACTGAACCAATGCGTCTCTATGGACGTCACTTGCCTCAGCCTGTTCCTGACCATGACTGTGATCAGTAAGTTGAGAAGAAGGATGTTAAAGTACAGAGGAAAATCAAGCTGGGTGGGGTCACCACTCTGATGGCTGCAATGGAGGTGGCCAGTGGGGGTGCGGTTGGCTGGCTGGAGGTGGAGGGGGAAAGAGTTGCCAGCCTCTCTTCTTTCCCCCTCATCAAAAATTAAAATGCTTGTATTATGTAAACCTTGAATATACAGTATAACTGTGGTTAGTCACGTACTATCGGGCATTTGGTTGCTGCTTGTATCTTTCTAAAATATGTTTTTTTTATATTATTCAGGTAACTGGATATTGGTAAACCTCTTCAGCTGCCTTACGACCGCCTGTCAGTTGAAATCCCTCCCTACTTGTCCCTCTACTCCAGTCATTGTGAATCCCAACCCCTGCCTCTCTCCCAAGGCCAGGCTTCGCACCTCCACACCCGAGCGGTATTTATACTCCTACTTTCAGTTGTGTATAAAATAAATTCCTTGTGTGTAGCAGTAATAATAGCAATAAACAAATTAATGACAATCATTCTTGCATCTTTCCACTGGTTGGTGAGTCAGTGACTTGAGGGCATCAAATGAAAATGGCAAGCAAATGGGGAGAAATGTTTTCACACACAGAGTGGTTAAGGTATGGACTGCACTGCCAGGGGTGTCGGAAGGAAACTCTAGAAACATATGAATGTGGAACCGTAGATATTTACGGCATAGAAGTACGCCATTCTATAAAATGGAGTCAATTACAAGGGAATGGAGATAAGGGCAGATAATGAGACTGAAAGGATTGCTCTTAAAAGAGCCAGACCAAATGATAGAATCATAGAATCTTGCAGCCCAGAAGGAGGCCATTCGACTCATTGTGCTTGTGCCGGCTCTTTGAAAGAGCTACCAACTGGTTCTACTCCCCCGCTCTTATCCCATAGCCCTGCAATTTTTTTCCTTTTTAATTACATATCCAATTCCCCTTTGAAGCTATTAATGAATCTACTTCCACCACTCTTTCAGGCAGTGCATTCCAGATCGTAACAACTCGCTGGGTAACAAAAAATTGATGGTGCCGAATGGCCATCTTTTGTCATTCTATGGTTTTATTTGATGTAATGTAGAAACATCTCAAAGCACTTTGAAGGATAGACAAACATAGCATCCAATTTGACCTTGGCAACATTCCATAAATAGCCATGAAAGAAGTCCCCTGTATGTATTGACTTTGAGGGAGATCAGCTGACATGTGGAAACCCATCAATGTGCTTAAGAGCATCCAAACCAAACTGAGAATTCCACGCCTCCCGTCTACACACACAAATTCTGGAGATAAATTGTTGGAATGGAATGCGTTCTCTCTCCCCGGAGGGACACTTCCTGCTTATCTAATTCCGGAAAGTATTAGGCGCAGGTTGTTAAGAGCCAAAACTTGGGGACCCCAGAGTGTGTATTAGGATAACTGCTGGAATCTGACCGGCTAAAAAAGCATAGCATGCCATTGATCGCACTGTCTGGCTGGCTTTCCCACTGCTTGTCCAACTAGGACCACCCCACTTGTCAGGGCTTTGGCTTGCAGCGTTTATTAGATAGTTAGATAGACGATCTGAGCGAGTAGCATGTAGAACATTAACACGTGTAATCTTGTCTTTCAGAGATTCTGAGATCTTCAGTTTAGAGGAAGAACTTGAGAAGCTAACAGGTAAAGGAGGGATTGTGAGTTAACAGTCACTGGTAGCCAAGTTATTGTACAATTATACAGTTTTTAACAGAAGAAGGCCATTTGGCCCCCTAAGTGCTTGTGCTGGGGGAGAGAAAGGCAGCATTTATATAGTGTCCTTCACATGGGTAGTGTCTCGGAGCGCTTAACGGTGGTGGAGGCTGTCGCCAAGCCTGGGAGAGGTGACAGTAAGCACGGTCGAAGAGGAAGTTCTTGAGTCGTGACTCAATGGGAGGGCGAAATGGGGGGTTTGAGGGAGAAAGTTCTGAAGCTTCGGACATAGTGGCTGAAAGCACGGCTGCTGATCGTGGAGCCGAGGGGCTGAGGGACGAGCAGGAGACAGAGACTACAACTAAGCATTTGTACAAAGTTGGATCCATTGATAGCTTGAGGTGTCAAGAAGTCCCTCACCCTTTTGTGTGTCTCAGGAACCGCTGGCTTGGGGAACACTGAGCTGATCAGGAGCAACACACTGATTGAGTCATCCGGCCCAGCCTGGCCCACACAGCATGGTGCAGCTCATCTGTCATCTGGCCCAGACCTGCCCGTGACTTGCATGCCTGTCCTGAAAAACAAGCCACTATTGGCCAACACCATGCAATGCACAACTGAGAGAAATGTAAGTATAAACTCTACGGAGAGAGGGACTGAGCGAAAGGAGTCCCGTAGCATTGTAGTTAGCACGCTCGCCTCGCAAGCAAGAGGACCCGGATTCAATTCCCAGGCGGGGCAAAACCTTAGGCAAGTTTCCTTCCCCCACGTGCCTATGTTTACCTGCAGGAAATAGGAACCCAGTTGCTAGTCAATTGGCAGATCTACACACCCCACACACAAAAAAAATTCACTCAATCCATGACTGTTTGTGGGACACTGCTTTGCGCAATTGGCTGCTGTATTTCAGACAAAATATAAAGTCAATCCACTTTACAGTATATTCTGTGAAGTGCTTTGTGACGTCTCAACGCTGTGATGAGGGACTATATTAAATGCAAGGATTATTATATTATTAGAGAAGTGCAGGTATCTCTCCAAAGAGAGGAGCTGAGAAGAGTGTAGATATAAACACTTTAGGGAGGAGTCTGAGAAGAGAAAAATCTACTGTTGTAACTTCTCCATTGTATTCAACCCCCGCCCCCCAACCACACACACATACTGCTCAGTATAAATTGCTCAATTTAAATTGTTGTGGGAAGGGTTTGTGGAGAGGAAGATTTTACAGAGTGAAAAGACCTTTGAGTGGTTTCATCCCCAAGCAGTGAGCGAGTGGGCTCCATCAGCCGCAATGTCCTAATGCTTGTCTCTGTGCTGATAGATATCTGGAGCTGAGAATTCGCTGCGTCACCTGTCACATGTATTTGAATCGGAAACGAACCTCAGTCATTCTGTCACCAGCAACATGTACGTAGTCCATATGTATTGGGGGAGTGGGGATTAAGAAATATTTAGGTGTGAATTTGGGGCAGTGGTGTGTATGTGTCTCTTTCTCTCTGTGTTTATGTCTGTGTGAGTGAGTTGTTTCTCTCTGTGTTTGTGAGTGTCTGTGAGTGTGTGTCTCTCTCTCTACGTGTGCTTATGAGTGTCTTCGTGAAAGGCGCTATACAAATGTAATTTTGTTATGTGAGTCTGTATATCTCTTAAGTATAAGTGTCTCTCTGTGTGAGTGTGTCTGTGTGTCTCCTCTATGTTTGTGATTGTGAGTGTGTCTACCTGTCTCTTCTATATGTATGTGTGTTTATGAGTGTAAATGTGTCTTATCTGTCTGTCTCAACAACAGTCTGAATCGAGAACAATGTATATTGTCCGGCTGTTTCATATTTTTACTTTACTTTTAATTTGTAGAACAGCCGAGTGACCGCATGTTTTCCTCTCCTTGTGTATTAGTGGCCGGCTCCACACGGCCCCCAGCACCGTGCCAACCCTGGGTGATCCCTCCCACCCACTGTCCTTCCCCAACTTTGCCATCTCCTCCAGCCCCACTCTCCCTCTGTTCAGGCTGTCCACAAAGTGTTGTTACCCCCCCACCCCGGTTACGAAACAGGGATATGAGACGACGGAGGAGCTGAGACGAGCTGTCCTTTCAGAGATGCATTTCACCTCCTCAGTCCATCCATGTCACGGAAGATGACACACTGAACTTAGCGATGGATCATTATCTGCCACAAAAATAATGGCGCTCACACCCATCCTCTGGACATCTAAACACAATTAAATACTTGTACTGAATACAGTGAAGTACTTCTACATCTAAGCGTTTCGCCCACAAAATATACAATCAATTCACTTTACAGGATATTCTGTGAAGCACTTTGAGACGTCTCAAAGATGTGATAAGGCGCTATATCAAATGCAAGGATTATTATTATCACGTACAATTATGATCATTCTTACACATGTATCAGTTATTGATCATTTCATTGTAGGAAAAAAAAGGGGGCAAACTTTGGGCTCCTACACGTCCTTTGTTCCCTCCCCACACCAACCACTGGTCTCAGCTCACGGGAACTCCCTCCCACTCCCTCGCACCTCGTCTTTGGATCTATCTTTGACCATGCCTTCAGTCATATCCAGTTCATTTCCCTCCCCCACCCACCCTGCTCAGTGTCCTGCATCATCCACATAAAGCTATTCTCCTGCATCCTGTAAGGATGTAAGGTGCTGTGTAATTGCAAGCTGTTGTTGTTGTGTGAATGATTTGTTTCCTCCTCCTCCTCAGGTCCCTGACACCGAGGCAGCTGTGCCGCGGCATCACCAAGATCGGCCAGCCCTGCAGGAACCGCGCTGCCACGGGGCAGGACGTCTGCCGAATCCACACCTCGGGACAGAGTTCGTACAGATAAACTCACTGGACCGGCCGGGCAGCGGGGGGCTGGGCAGGGGGGCCAGGCTGACCCTCAGTCTCTGACTTCACGGAAGTCAGAACAGGATTCTGTCTGGAGTTTCAGGGAGCGCAACAGCCAGGTCACACCAGGGTTTTGTCAACTTCAAATCCAATCTCGTAAGCTCAACCTTCACAGTCTTGAGTCGATCGTGAGGTAGGGGTGTGGTGGGCGGGGGCTATTGTCGGGATCGGACGTACTCTCGGCTATTTTAAGGAAGCATCTCCTCCTCCTGACTGAGAGGGATTGACATTAATAAACGGTTAGGACGGGACGTACTGGGTGGTTGACTGGATGTCCTCTGCATGTTTTGTTTTTTCTGGGGGAGGAGATTTTGCAGACGGCTAATTTGACACTGGTTGGAGGAATGCACTCTTCTTGCTGTGACCTTTACACATACATCGCAGTCTCTTTTTGCCCTCATGCAGTGCAAAAATGCGTTGCGATCCCATGTTGCTCAATGTACAAGCAGTCCAGTGTTACAATTCTGCTTCCTGCTATTTTAATGTGTCCTTTTAACACTACCTAATCGAGAATATTTTTAACTGTTGAATAAATATTATGGGTCTCGGACCAAATTGATCGTCTGTTCTCGTGGGGTTTCAATGGGATCTAGGGTTTGCTTTTCTTCTAAGTTGCCTTTTGAGGGAATTAATGACTGGAGTGGGGTTACCAGGAAGGGGGCTGAAGTTAGGAAGCTGGAACTTGTTTAAGAAAGGGAACAATACTGTAATGGCAAGTTGGTGGAGAAGATATCATGCAAGGAGGATAAAGTGGGACAATAATAATATTTGCAGGGTCTGGCCTCCTCATCCCCCGAGTCCTACGCTCCCCTCGGCGGCTGTGCCTTCAGCCACTATGCCCCGAGACTCTGGAACCCACTCCCTTCGCCTTGCTCCTTCCCGTCCTATTTTTAGGTCTCTGCTGAAGACCTTTTTTTTCGACTGCGCCTTTGGTCACCTAGCTTCCCCTTCGCTCGGTCCAGGATCTGTTACTGTGAAGCGCTCTGAGATGCCGTCCGGCGTGGAGGGCGCTATATAAATCCAAGTTGTTGTTGATATAGCGCCTGATCACGTCATCAAGATGTCTCAAAGCGCTTCACAGAATATACGGTAAAGTGGATTGACTGTATGTTTGGTAGGCAAAACACGGCAGCCAATTGCACACAGCAGTGTCCCAAAAACAGTCGTGGATTGAGTGACCAAATTATTATGTTAAATTCTGGGAGGAGGGGGATACACAAGCAGGTTATTGTGTAGTAATGTCTGGTAAGGCGAAGGACAATAAAGCATCCCATTGTTACCCTATAAAACATTGGGATTACCTGATGTCATGTTACTTCTCACATAGTGAAGTTTCTCATAGAGAGAGAACTTGCACGACACGGAGAAGAATCCGTACAGAGGCCACCTGGTACACCTTGCACTTTACATAAGGTCAGCACACATTAGGGGGTGAGAACTGTCGCAACTCTCAGTCGGACCGATTTGAATACTCTTAAGCACGGTGATGGGTTTCTGCATGTTTCAGACACAGGGCTGATCAAAACAAATTGTTATCCTCTTTACAATAGTTGAATTTAGTGCTTAGGGGTGAGCATGGCAGATTCATCAGTCTGTAAATCTATGGACTTTGCCAATGTGAGGTTGATATGGGAAAATCCCATTTTACCCTCCTCCTGCCATGGTCTCTAGATTCACTGCGTGGTGACAAAAGGTCAGCAAACGTACTGAGGGTCGGAAAATCAAAATAGACTTTGCCCCAAATCTCTGAGATCTGGATTTGGAACTGAATGTTTATTTAACATATCCACTAAAAGGGTAGTTTCTGCAAACCCATGAAATTTACCACGGACACAAACTGTGTAAAACAATACCTTATAAGGAATGCAAACGCACAAGGTCTGTCAAGTGTAGGTTATGTGAGCATCAGCACCTTACAAGGCAATGTTGTGGCAAAGACCAAAGGTGTTACTCGCCAGTATCATAAAGCATCATAAACGTGTCATGAAGCATCATAAATATAAGAGGTGAAAAATTCCCAAATGTTTACAAAAGTGCAGTTCATCCGTAAGAGATTGGTGAAGGAAAGGCTCAGAGCCATGAAGGTGAGGTATCTTGGCAGGCGTAATCACCCTCACAAGCCACACGACAGAGTGAGGAGAATGAGAAAGACCAGGATGAGACGAAGAGGACATCATAAGACTCGCTTTGGCTACAAGCGGAAGCACATAGAGCCTTAAAAGCAAAACAAAAAAGTCTTAATGAATGTTTGAGGCATCGAACATCCCCGAGGAAGCATGTTTGAGTGCAAATTTATAAAATAAAATGTTAAATACAAGTACTTGAGACTTGGAAAGAAATGTGGTGCACTGCGCTTGACTTAACTGTAGGTGAAATAAGAATAGTAGTAATAATATTCCTAATAATCCTTGCATTCGATATAGCGCCTTATCACACCTTTGAGACGTCTCAAAGATCTTCACAGAATTGACTTCTATCTCTGAGAGTGTGTGGTTGAATCAGAGAAGCCGGTTCCCCGCCCTAACCGTGCACAGAGACATAAAGAGAGGGATACAAAATGCGACAGAACAATCCTTTTTTGCAAAGTCAAAGAATTGGCACCACCCAAAACAAACCACAATGTACAAGCCCATTTCAGCACCTTAAAAGGCAGTGAAATGTCCCAATATTGATCACAATTTATATTGTTATGTAACAGCCACGTGCACACATGCCCAAATAATTTATAAAAATGAATCTTCGTCATTGCAAAGCGACAGCTGAAAGCGAAGCATGACTAAGTCAAAGGCCTACACCACCCATAGTAGCTGCCGCCAGTGGCATGTTAAAAGAATCAAGAAATCTAACAGATTTACGTCTCCCAGAAGAGGGCAGCGTAGGTCCCTGACAAAGATTAAATCAAATAGAAAGAAGAAAGGCCGGAAGTGAAACAGACCCAGGAACTGCCTTGGGATCAATGACCATTGTAAGATGGGCACCTGTTCTTTGATGGGATCTATCTGAATGCTCTGTGTGTGAAACCTTGCTCAGGACATACTGTTGCTTAATTTATAATGAATTAAAATACTAGTGCTTGAGACTTGAACAAATTTATTAAGGTGGTCTGTGTGTGTGTGTGTGTGCGTCTACGACTATGTCAAATACTTTGACCTTCCAATGCAGTTCCGGGGGAATATTGCATTGTTGGAGGTGCCTTTGGATGAGAGGTTAAACCATGTCCTGTCTGCCTATTCAGGGGAACGTTAATTTGGGGGTAATGCTCCTAATTCCTACTCCCCTGCTACAAGGTGTGTGTTTGTTGGGTGAGGACAGTCTTCAGATGCAACCAGTAGTCAAATAGCCTGCTCATACTCACTGTTAATAATGTGAATAATTGTTACTTGGAAAAGATCCCGGAATTGCCTGACCTATGGAACTGTATGCCAGCTGTCTATCAGAAGGATTTACACCAAGATTAGTTTTTTTTAATGGTCCTGTGTGCTTTCACGTCTGCCAAAATGATTCATTGGTTTGTAACCCGGCTCATGTCACTGTCAGCCTGGCTCGGTTGGTATCACTCTCACCTCTAGGCCAGCAGATTGTGGGTTCAAACGTCACATCGGGACTGAGCTCACAGTCTTGGCTGAGACTTCAGTGCAATGCTGGGGGAGCACTGCACTATCAGAGATGCCGTCCTTTGTAATTACATGTTTAAATCAAGGAACAGCTTTGAGGATGTGCTAAGGCACTATTTCAAAATACAAGGATTATCATTATTATTATTATCATTATTATTATTATATCTCCCTGTCCAGGTGAATGTTAAAGATTCCATAGGACAGACAATTCAAATTTCCTGGTTCACAAGCACCCAGATAAAAAATTGATCATTCACTTCTCCACCGCGAGTTACTGCCTTGTGCAAATTGGCCTTCGTTGTCAACTGCAAATATACGTTTGGTCGTTACACTTTACAGAAAAACTGTGCAGCAAGTTTCAGATTACGGATTACATAATAATAACAATAATCTTTGCATTTGATAGAGCACCTTATCACACCTTCGAGACCTCTCAAAGAGCTTCACAGAATATACTGTAAAGTGAATTGACAGTATATTTTGTGGACGAAACGCGGCAGCCAATTGGCATAGCAGTGTCCCACAAACAGTCGTGGATTGAGTGACCAAATTATTCTTTTATTTATTTATTTAGAATTATTACCTCCGGAAAAGCCAATTGACTAACAACCGAGTTCCTACTTACTGCTAAGTAAACAGAGGTGTGTGGAGCTAGGAAACAGCATTATTATGGTTATCTATTGCAGCAAGCATATATACAAGCGATTAGGAAAAATGATTGGTAAAGAACATTAATATTAGGGTATAATCCTAGTCTTCCAAACAATCCTTCTCAAATTATTATTATTATAAAGTAATCCTTATGCTGAAACTTGCTGCACAGAAATTTTCTGTAAAATCTAAAGACCAAATGTGTATCCATCTCGGGGGGGGGACTCCCTGATAGACTACAGCAACAACCAGCATTATCTCCACTCCCCACACTCTGTTCTCCCAACACTGCCACGAGAGGATGGTTCAATGGGGGGATGGGGGGGGGAGGAAGAGAGGGAGTTGGAAATGGCCTTGGAGCGGATGAAATTACTCACCGGGCCAGATGCGGCCCGCGGGCCACCTGTTGGACCACCCAGGTTTAAAACAAAGTTTAAGCAGCAGAGTGGGATGTAACCCTTGCCTCCCTTTCTCACTCTCTCTCCTCCCCACTTCACTCCGTTTCTCCCTTCCCTGCATTTCAAAAGATACCATTGTATTAGACGATCTCGGGAGATTAGTAATTCAGCCTGTCTCAGTTGGTGCACATGGCAAAACTGGGGGAGCACTGCATTGACAGAGTCTGCCATTATAATGCCATTTGTTTCGATGGATGTTATTGACGTTAATACAATAATTACTAATCCTTGTATTTGTTATAGCCCCTTATCACAGGGTGGCCGAAGGCACGGTCAAAGAGGAAGGTCCTTAGACAGCACTTGAAGGAGGCAAGAGAGGGGGTGAGGTGGAGGGATTGCGGGATAGAGTTCCAGAATGTGGCGGCAGAGATGCTGAATGCCCAACCACCAATGGTGGGGTGGGAAGTGAGGGAACCTGAAACAGGCTGGTGCCCACTGAGCGGAGAAAGCCGACAGGCTGATATGGAGGTCAGAAAGGTAGGTTGGGAGCAAGCGTGGAAGGCTTTGTAGGTGAGAACAAGGGTTTTGTCCTTGATTCTCTGAGGGATGGGGAGCCAGTGAAGCCGGGCAAGAACTGGGGTGTTTGGTTCGTGGAGCCTGGTGTGGGAGAGGACACGAGCTGCAGAGTTCTGAATAATCTACATCTTGTGGAGAGAAGAGTCGGGAAGTCCAGCGAGCAGGCAGATGGTGTAGTCAAGCCTGGACATGATGAGAGTGTGGATCAGAGTCTCGGTGGTCTGCGATGGGAGGCAGTGGCAGAGGTGGGGAAAAGCGGAACCGGTCATGGCACGAATGTAGGGTTTGAAGGATAGCTGAGGAT